GTCAGGCTGTTAACCTATCATTGATCAGGAGAGGCAAGACGTGTTGAGCTGATCCACAATCAGTCCGACACACTGCCAGGTTGTTAACCTATCATTGATCTGGGGCCTCATTTATAAAAGGGATATACGCTCAAAAAAATGGCGTACGCCAGTTTCTACGCAATGTTTGCGATTTATAAANTATGTAGTGTCTCTACTTTAAAGAGTCCTCTCCTGCTGATGTTCAGGTGTATATCAGTATGTAGTGTCTCTACTTTAAAGAGTCCTCTCCTGCTGATGTTCAGGTGTATATCAGTATGTAGTGTCTCTACTTTAAAGAGTCCTCTCCTGCTGATGTTCAGGTGTATATCAGTAGTGTAAAGAGTCCTCTCCTGCTGATATTCAGGTGTATATCAGTATGTAGTGTCTCTACAGTGACATGTCTCCATGCTTTAATGTTCACAAAGCTCTTTATTTGTCTCATACTGCCTGTGCTGCAGCCCTTAGCCTATCACGTACAATGTGTTGGAGCGATAGCCAGAGTGTTACATATAGTGATGTCATTATGTAATGGAAGTAAACAAAGGAGTCCAATGGATGTGTTTCAGGGGGGGAGAGGGAACTTTGGAATTGTAGCCTTTGCAGACCATTAACATGCACAAAAACTATGCGCTATGGATATACAGAGTTGAAGAGGTGGGTTTTGAGGCGGGACTAGAACAGGGTGAGGGACTCAGACTCACGGAGGTCTTGGGGGAGGGAGTTCCAGAGCTTCCAGAGGCTCTGCCCCAAAGCTCCGGAGTGTGGCCTTGGGGATGGAAGGCAAACCGGCTGAGGTGGATCTGAGGGACCGGGGTGGTTGGTAGAAATGGATGCGTGTGAAACGGGGAGCCAGTGGAGGACCGGGGGATGTGATGCATGATTAGGATTTGCACGGAAGGAAGCTGCGACGTAAGCTTTACTAGGATCAGAATCCTTTGCAGAATACCACATGAACTAAGTCTTTGTAATTGTCTTTGTGGTGCAATCAAGGTTTCAGTGTGTGCCTTTCTCAGTCATTCAACAGTAGGAAAGCTGCGGTATTAAAGTCTTTACCACCATCCTGCTGTTCACAGATTACAGAGGATGACCAGTGTGGCCATGTTGAGCAGAAAAACCTGTTTCGACAGAAGCAAGGTAGAGAGGAGCACATCCTCACACACATAGTAACAAGTTAATTTCTTAATCTGTGTGAGTGTGTGAGATGAACACTTCCTGCATCGGTTCTTCTCGGTTTTCTAATGCTCTACATTTCCAACTGGAACATGTGAGCGGAGCACGAACGTGGGATTGTTTCTGACTCGTTGATCCTTACATTTCCAATCAGTTTTCGTTTCAAAACAGCATTTTCACTTTGTTGTTTGCTGTCTTGCACACAAAGGGAGGCACGCACGGCTGAGTTGTTAAGGAAAAGGCAAGAGACATTTAATCCGATGATGACTTTAATCATATCAGGATCTAGTACAACAATTACTTTGTTTTTAAGGGTAAAGTCAGGAGATTTGGAATGGTTTGAAACCCAGTTATTTTATTTAAGGCAAAGTCAACCTCACCATTTGCCCTCTTCCTGAGAGCTTAAATAAAAAATTTCAAAAGCTTTGAAATCTTTATTACCGGCGTTCTTCTTCTTTATTTACCTGCCCACCTTTAATAACATTTTCAACTACAGCATGGGCATCGGCGGTGTCATGCAGCAGTTCGTAATTTGTCGTTATACCAAACACTCTAGTAACAGTACATGTACTATTCTGAAATGCAGTGAAGTAGAAGTATATAAATTAAAAGACTCAGTTATAGCACAAGAACCTCAAGATTGTACTTAAGTACAAACTGTACTAGGTCATATGGGATGACTAAGTACACAAATACTGTATATGTCAACAAAATTGTTGTAATTATTTGGTATCTTATTCCTTATGTTTCTTTCAAGGTTTGAATTAAAGTGCAAAGCCTTGGTAATGTTGCTGCTTTAACAAAAATAATGATTCTTTCCAAATCAGGTTAATCAGGTTACTCTCACAAACTATGAAATTCAGAAACTAACAATTGCTCCTAATTCATCCTACTGAGTTAATGACGCTGTTCCTTTCAAGCTTTCTTATCTTGCACGGCACAAAGGCGGTTTACAATGAGAGCGGTGGCAGATTTAGTTTTCCTCAACAAAGGTCGCCTGATTGTAGCGGAAAGAAGTCAGCTTCTCATTTTTAGATGGAGACCTTTGATTCTGTCGGCTGAAATGTTGCTAAAGACTGTTCAGAAAGTGTATAACGCATAAATCATCTAAATCCAATAAAGAGCATGACTCACGATGAACTCTAGTTTTTACAGATATATAATCAGTGGCGGCGCCCCTTACAGTGAAAGCCACGCGTGAGGCTTCATTATTCTCCTTTTATCAGCTAAATTACATCGAGAGCAGCAGGTGTGAGTAAACAATACAATAGCCTATTCTGCTATTCCACGTTGTTACAACATGCTACGCAGCGGCAGAAACAAGAAAAGTTGGCATATAGAATTGACACGGAGAGGGAGAGAGAGAGGGAGAGAGAGGAGGGAGAGAGACATGATGAATTGGAAATGGGGGACCCTGATGTAAACAAGACAAAGTCTTTCTCTGGTCTGCATCCTCTTAACAATTGTATGTTTTGAGCTGTACTGTACTGTACCCAATATACAAGCTGTTAATAAACTTTTCAATCAATCAATCAATCAATCAATCAAACAAACAGACACAGCACACAACAGGTGGCCTGTGTCTCTATTTCTCTACTTTAAAGAGTCCTCTCCTGCTGATGTTCAGGTGTATATCAGTATGTT